CCATCGGTTTACTTTCCCCTCGAAGTCAGCGACAGCCACAGTCAGTAGCACAAGGTGTTGGATGTGTATAGTTGATTTTTGGGACGCTTTCTTTTTTACCTAGAGGACAGACTCTTGCGTACAAGGTATGAACAAACTTGTTTTTTACTTTTCTGTCTGTGTTTTTTTTTTCTTTACCTTTTTTCTTCTGCAGTTTAAGGTTAATTAAATCATAACTACTACTTAACAGTGTGCATAATGATTTATAATGAAAAGTGTTTTCTGCTTTATATCATTACTTGTGACAAATAACAAAGTTTTGAGTTAATATTCTGGCTGTGCAGGTTATGAACTCTGTCAGGTGTAACTGCAGATTCTTAACTGGATTTGTCTCAACACGTTTAGCGTTTTGAGAACCTTTAACCAAAACGAGTAAGTACGATTAAACATTTAGACTAATACAAACACACACACATGATGACGAGTTTTTGTTTTTTGCCACTTTGTTTTGTTTTTAAGCGTTCATGTATTTCAGTTAAAATTGTTTTAAAGCTGCTGAGAAAACATACAGAAACTGTGGATGCCCCGCAGTTATACAGTGGAGGCGACATGCAGGCAAAATGTTGTTGGATTGGTGCTGATAACCGTTAATCATCCTTTTGTGCAATTGCTTTTCATATTATGCAGCGTTAAGTGACAGATATGGAAAAGTTCTGCATTCAATGTGGTTTCTGTTTTGCTGAACCGCAGTAAGTTTAAAATGTGAATACCTTTGGGTTGTTATCGTTTATGTGCAAAAACAAATACAAAATACTACATAGGCGTGGGGGACAGAGGGGTGTTAGAATTAAGTACTTTTAATACAAAAAAAAGTTTTAAAAGCAACAAAAACAAAGTTCAGCAACCCTTTAGAGGATTGAGTGTTTGAGTTATTGTTGGTGTTGATGTTACTCAAGATATCAATTATCTGTCATTAACACCAGATTTTCATAGAAAATCGATTTTCTATGAAAGATTGAGGTTTTTTTATTTTTTGAGGAGGGTTTTTTTTTGTTTGTTTGTTTGTTTGTTTGTTTGTTTGTTTGTTTGTTTACTATTTTAAATGTCTAGGCAAGGGGAAAATCAGTTGATTTTTATTTATTTAGCACCAGTTTGCACAAACTGTTCCCTTAAAGGTCTTTATAGTGAAAGATGAAGACTATGATAGAGAAAAACCTGACACGCATACAAGTCCCTGGGGGGAAACACTTCTTTGAGACAGGAAGAGGCCTTTGGCAAACCCCGATTCAGGAAGGGCTAGCCATCTTTACTGTGAATAGTTGGGAGATGAGTGGAAAAAGAAGAGAAACAAGTGGTTCATGGGTAAGCAAAGGAAAACACAAACTATGGTAGAAAGTAGATAAAAGTTTATGAGAAATAGAAGGAAAATACGTTGTGCGTCATAGTAAGTTGTCTAATTGTAGCCTAGAGCAACTTCAGTGTTAGGCTTGGCAGTACAGTGGTGCAGTGGTAAGCTCTGCTGCTTCAAAGTACAAAGCTATTGGGTTCAAATCCAGTCGGGGACCTTTTGCATAGTGTTTCTATCCTCTCACTGGGTACTCTGGGTTCCTCCCACACTCCCTGAATTGAATAAGTGATGGCATTGTTTTTGAATTTTAGTAAGGGTTTAGAGATGGTGAGAAAAGTTCATTTAAAAAAAAAAAGATTTTCTTTCAGGAGTCACCAAAACAGGTTCTGTGCCTGAACTTGCCACAGTGTTTATTTATTAGGAACGAACTGGAAATACAGCAACAGCTTTTGCATTATGAGTTTTGATGACAATGAAGTATATCGCTGTGTTCCATATAACATAGCATTTCATAATGTTTTACCTGTGTTGCTGTCCTCTCTCTGCAGCATCCGTTCCAACTCTTACTCTGTCAAGATGTCTGGAGACCAAAGTAACACAGGAGAAGACCATTGTATTCCTGAAGACAACAGCTTGGTCTTCACTCTGGTTCCACCCTACATCCTGGTCATCAG